TTGAGATAAACATCACTATGGGTCTCACAAGCAAATGGAGGAGTGTGTGTTTGCCTCCAAAATCTGAGCAATTATCATTATGTTGAAGCAACACTGCTTTCAGTGGACCCAACAGAAGCAGCTAGCTGTTGCCCTGCTGTAGGATGCCTAGCCTGCTCATCTTAAGTTTGAAGAATGCCAAGTGACCATGCCATTCTCCCAATATGTAACAACAGGTCAGGGATGCCAAAGGGCATTTCTTACAAATCTAGCCAACAGATCAGGTTAGACGTAACAAAATCAAGTCACTGGATTGGAGGTTACTTGCTCATTGTTTCTACAGCTGAACAACGAGCATTCAATTAAATCAACTGCAAGAGCTTGGATGGTTATTATTAATTAAAGTGCTGGCCTGAAACTGGATATGGAGAGTACATGAATTCCACTTGTATTGATTTAAGTTCAAATCTGGGCAGTGACCCAGGGATGCTTTCATCTCTAATTAGTTTTCATGAATACTGGTTAAAGGACTGAATAATGTCCTCAGTAAATGCCCAAAATTTAAAACAAAAGCAAACTCAAAAACTGTTTCTCTCATCCCTATGGAAAGGTACTTTTGGAAAATTCCTGGATCAAAATGGCCCTTAACAGTCTCCTAGCCCAATTTCCCTTCCTCTAAAATACCTCTCGCTGACAAGCAGCTCTGACAAGACACACCCAGGCTCTGCCTGTATTTCTGGTCCTATCCATGGCAAACCATCTCACTGGTCAGTAACCCAACTGACAGTTCTGCCTTCCTTTCTCTTATTGCCTCCCTGTAACTTTGGTCTTCACTTGAAGGAAATACTGTTTAGCCTTATCTTTTTCTCCCCTGAGAGGCTTCCTAGTATCTGGAAACAGGGTTCTTCCTGATGGTTTCTTTCTTGTAGGTTAAATATCATAGTTCCTATTCCTTGATTACGGCCAGGGTGTCAGTGTTCTAACAAAGCTAAGTCTGGAAGATTCTAGGTAAAGTCTGATGGGCCCACAGAAAGCAGGGCTACTCTTACTGGTGCTCATGATACGATGTGGACACCCTTGGCATTCTATGACTATAACTGGTTGCCTTTGCATTTACTTTACACTGTTGGTTCACTTTGTTTGTGGCTAATGAAAACCCCTAGATCTTTTCCCAAGTGAGCTGTAGTTGCTGAGCAAGGTGAGATCCAATCTGTTAATGACTGAAAACATATGTTCATGAAATAAATTATTTTGCTAGGTATGATTCCATTAGGATCACTATGAATGTGGCAGAAGCTGATTCTCACCATATTTATGAAAATTTAGTCTACATTTTCCTTGGGATCATCTGGCACATGCAACCCAAAAAACAATTTGTTACTTACTCATTAGCATTCAAGCTAGCTGTGGCTCTGATGATCATGTAGCAGAGTGTGAGAACACTGAGGATGCCAAAACTGCCAATAATAAACCATTCTTCTGTTGACAAAGGAAAGGGAGGAAATCACTCTGGGGAGAAGGCTTAAGTCAAATCGATGTCAACATTTCCCTCAAATGCAACGAAGCAGACGTCAACGGAGGTAATAAGCCAAGACTGGCCCAAGGAAGTGAAGCAGGAGGAAGATTGCCAGAGAGCTACTAACTGGAGAAGGTTAGTGGAGTAATGGTGAGAGCTGCAAGGCAGAAAGGAAAGCATGGCCCAACCGTTTCTTCCAGTTAAGGTCCTGAGGTCTGTGAGGAACGTGGCCACCAAAAAATGTGTAGTAAAATATGTATATAAAACTGCAGATGGACACTGATTTTTTAATTATTAATTGAGATGACATACTTATTGTCTCTTTCCTTCTTCATTTTGTCACTTCTGCATGGTTGTATTGCTCATTCTTAGAGAAAGGTTTAGATACACAGAGTAGAAGTTCCCAAACGTCTTGTGGGTACTCAAAGCAGTCCGCAGGCTGGCCTTCCACAGCATTCTTGTCTACAGTATTTCCTGTATGGCTGGGTTTACTGGTAGTCTTTACTGAACAAGGACATCTCATTGGTGTCTCTTGGAAAGGTATACCCACTGTCTATTCTGCTTTGTTAAGCATAAGCAGGAAGGATAGGTGAATTCACAAGGTACTTGACCCATCAAAGAGTGAACACCTCTGGTAGAGAACTTAAGGATTTTTATCTAGTCTCTTTCTAGGTCCATTCATCAGTTAATATTTTCCTTTAACTTTTCTTTCTTTTTTTTAAAGATTTATTTATTTATGAATAGAAGAGCTGGGGCACAGGCCAGAGATGCGGGGGGTGAGAGGATCCACCAGAGACAAAGTGGGGAACAGAACAGGCAGACTGACTGAACTACACTGCTGAGGGGAGCAGCGGGCAAGACAGGAGAGGTCTGCCCTGGCCGGCTGGGGATAGAACTCATGCTGCAGAGGCTGAAGATTGCGTCACAGTGTGGTGTTTAACCCCTTGCACCACCAGGGAGGCCCTATTTTCCTTTAACTTTTCAAAGTCTGCATGGTCAAGGTAACATTCCAAAAACAATATTAAGAACAACAACAACAAAAAAATACCACCCCCCCAAGTCTCCCCCAAAAAAACCCCACAAAACCACAAATCCAACCAGAGAACCAATATGATTTTCTAAAAAACTCTTAACTACAAAATATGTAGGCCCCAGAGTACTCTCTTAATCAGGAGCAGTTTCTCAAAGTGTTACTTGCTAAAATTCTTGATGTATCTGCAACAAGGCAGTAAAAAGAAACATGTATACTGAATGCCAAATGTTTATATGCAAAAATTATGTATAACATGGTGTTTCTCAACCTGGCTTTCATTGAGTCCCACAACTATGCAAAACTGTGTTTGCCTAGGAATTTTGCTTGAAAAAGGTTATTAGATTTTTATTAGATTTTAAAGGTGGTGAGCTTCAAAAACTGTTCTTCAGGATTTCAGGATGTTGAGTTGTTCTATGAGCATTTTTCTGCCCACCTTTTTTCATATTATAAAATGCTCTTCTTTTTAGATAACAGTGTAGTCACGGCTTTGTAGTATACAAATTTCTCATTGGTAGCATGAATTTATAAGAGCTTTATTAAAGCTGAACATTCAAGAACCCATACAAAATCCATCACTTTTACCCAAATATATATTTTAAGGTAGGAAAATGTATATTGACATTAAAAACATTATGGGATGATTTCCTATCAATATGAAGAAGTTAACACAGAATTCTTTTTTCTTCTTAGAGACTTTTATACATAAGCAGACTTTTAGAACCTTCATTATGTCTATGTTTTCAAATTCTGAATATAACATTCATATTTGTACAGCATTTCAATTATAAAAACTAGTAATCAAAAAGAGTGAATATCATAATAATACCCACTGGGACCGAGAGTATGTTAGCAGCAATCCGCTGCTGCTGGCTCTTGGTTATTGCTGTCTTGCTCAGTGTGGATTTAGCACAGTGCCTTGCACACAGTGGATGCTGGCTGAAGGCACTGTAGTTGCTAGGGCACTACAGGGCTTTGAGGCACAAGTAGCTTTGATCTTTTTAATCACACGAATCTCATTTATTAACATCATGTGTAAATCCTGCTAAAGATGATTAATTTGATAAACGAATAATTTTTATCATCCAAACATAAGATTTTGTAAGGACATTTCTGCATAAAATATAAGGGGATCAATACTTAATGTAGTAGTAGGTGCTCAATAAATGTTGATCAATGAAGGACCTATAAAATAAATTAATAAATAAGCAGCCTTTGTCTCCTTTATTACCATTAGATCAACTTTTAAAAATCTAGAGCATAAAACCTGAATGCTAAAGCAAGAAAATGTGAAATGCTATTAAATCACTGGAAACAAAATTATATCAAAGAATAGTTTTACTTATTTTATAAAACATAATTTATAATTATTTTATAAATGTAAAAGTTTGAAATGTTTACTTATTTAGAAAGTTTAAAAGTTTGTATGTTTACTTATTTCATAACTCAACAGGAAGGCTCCTTGAGTTTAGAAAAAGTGACAGAATGAAACCTGGGAAATCATCTCCTAGTAATAATTTTGGGTTGGCTGAAAAGCAATTTTGCTTTAATTAAACAGACCATGTGAGTCTTACCATGTGAAGAGAAAACTTTTTTAGCAGCTTTACCCATTACTGACTCCCAGAATTAGGTGAAGGGAATCCTATAGGGTTAGGGCTTGAAGCTACAGGCAAGCAGCAGCATATGTTGGAAAAGGCAGCACCCAAATGGTGACAAGGAAGATGGAGTGAAAGATCGTTAGATGAAAATAACATGTAAAGAATGGAACTGAAGAAAACAATTCACAGCGTGAACGTCCACACACACGCCTGCCAGCCCACTCACACCGTGCTCAGGCCTGCATCACCACACCCAGTACTTCTCAACAAGTCCAACACCATGATGTTCATAATCAACCCCCAGCATTTTTAAAGATTACTTTTTTGGTTTTTCTCCTGTTTCATGTACAATTATACCAAAGAGTTAAGTGCCAAATGCCAAACTGAATAAAAAAGTATAAAATAAATTGAGCAACAACAGGTCATCTGAACTATTCCTAAAGATATGAATTTTTAGGTTCAAATTCTGAATCAGCTTTTAACTAGACTGCCTGGGAACTGGAAAGCACTTCTCAGAGCTACAGTACACCCAAGATGCTGAGGCCATAAGTCACATCCCACCAAGATCCTCTAAAATGCCTGTTCGCAATGCAATCATTTCAAAACAGGTTTATAAACAGTTACTAAGATAAAAACTCTGAACAACTATTTGCCAAATGTTAACTATTTGTATTAGTTACACACAAATATACAAGCTCCTTAGTATAAAGGAAGTTTCGCTATTCCAAATATCTGCTTTAACCGAAGTACATAGCACTTGCTCAGTCACAGGCCACACTATTGGCCCTAGTGATTGCCCCAACCGTCATCTGGAGCAGTCACCACATGCCAAACATGGGCAGCAAATCTGTCCTGTGCTGGGCACAGGTCCACTTACTTGTTACGGCGATGTTGATCTCTCCTGTTCTAGGGGTGAGTTCCCCATCCTGAGGAAGAGGTGATATCCCCGAAGTTCGAAGGGGCTCGAGGCCAAGAGAATTGTCGTTGGTGAGGTCACCTAGGGCTGATCTTCGGTTAACTGCTTGGGTTCTGGTGAGTCTTTCCATGTCAAATGCTACATTATCAGTACATGGCAAATTTGGCTGCAAAATAGTTCCAGATTAAAAGTACTTATAAGAATAACAAATCATGTTGTAAAATTTTAAATATCTGACACCCTGTTAAAAGATTGTATCAGGACTTTTTAGTGTGATTTCCTCTCATTTCCCTCTCTATCCACCCTCTCCATTTCCCCCAAGAGTTCTAAAGAGAAAAACAGATGATTTCCTCCCCCCAAAAAGTTACAAAGGAAAGGCAAGATCCATTGCAGAACTGAGAAAATTGGTTACTGCATCTTAATGACAACCTTTTGTGGAAGTGACTTCAGGAAGGGGATTCACTGTTGTCATTATAAAGCTGACAATAAACTATATGATTTTGGCTCTGATATTAACGTAGAGAGACAGCAGGTAACATAAAATACCATTACCTCTCTGTAATGCCTCATTCATTTGGTAGTCAGTTTTTAAATATCTTCTATCTTTAGACATAATACAGTCAAAAGCAGATCAAAACTGAAAAGATTTTTGAATTGTGAGAAAACTGTTAAAACCTAAGCACCAAAGCCTGGACGACAGATATAAAACTGCACTGGGGTCCAAGGACACCAACTAAAAAGCTGGATACAAACGTGGATACAAAAGTTGCCTGATTTAACAATATGGATATTTGGTATCTCCAGTAACTTTTGGAAACAGACAGTGTATTAAAAGCGGAGTTAGGAATGGTAGGTGAGACGTTGTATACACAGAAGTCAGACAACCAAGCCCAGAACAATTCTGTTCTAGATTACCCCCAAAGCCAAATTAAAAACAAACTTACACAGTGTAATAACTTACACAGTGTAATAATGCTCATAATGACTATCAGAAAAAATTTATTATTATTATTTTGGGTATTTAAAGAAATATGGTGGCTTACAGAACATTTTAGAAAGATCGTCATGAAAACCAGATGGGAGAAGTATTAGTATTTCAAAGACTTAAAAGACTAAACAAACCCAACAACCAAGAAGGCTGGAGGCAACAAAAGAGGCTAAGCTAGTATTTTCCAGTGTTTACTGTGTGTCAGGTATTATGGCAGATGCTTTGTTAAACTCCTCAAATGGGGGTGGACTCTGGTCCTAAGGGACATCTGGCAATGTCTGGGAACACTTTTTGATTGCTGTGACTGGGCATCATGCATGGGCACCAGCGTTTAATAGTAGAGGCTATGGATGCTGCTACACAGTCTACAGTGCAAAGGATGGTCCCACCAGGAGGAATGATCTAGTCCAAAATTATGTCAGTGGTACCAAGGTGGAGAAACTGTGTTAAATGACAATGACACTGCTGTGATCACTAGAGATGGAGGATAAATGGGTCCCAAGTGGCTCACCCCTGTGTCTGACAGCACAGTTCAAATTGGACCCTTAGATCTTCTTTGGGTTGCAAAGCTTAAAATGAGGAATTCAATTTTTGGGTTACACTAAGCTTTTTGTTCCATGAGGAGATTAAGCATTCACTCATTTTTGAAACCAAAAGTATTTCATTTCCCTCTAAAAATCTACAATCCTGGATATATAATAGATACTTCTCTTAAGCAAGAACTATAGGCTGTCTGTAAGCGCCCTGGTTCAGCTAGTGAGTGCTGATTTGTCTGTTCAGAGTTGAAGTATTCTACATGGCAGGCAACCTTTGCCAAGTTGTTAAAGGTTTGCCCAGGATGGGGCACCGCCCACCTTCACTATTTGCAACTTACCAACAACCAGGAGAGCAAAGTCAAACTCAAGAGGAAGGAACGTAAGTAATGATTTAGTTTTATATTATGCTGAAGACAGAAAAATGTACTATGGGACCAAAGTCAAAAGTCTATTCCTTAAAAAAAAAAAAAAAAAAAAAAAGATTGTAATGAAGGGGGATCACACCCTTCTCTCTACCTCAGTTTTCATATACCACACCACCCAATAGTAGCACGCGTGAAAAGCAGACTAGCACAGTTCCTTCCTCCCCTTCTAGGAGTTCCCTGAGATGGCTGGACTTGGAATAATCTTAGAAGAAGGCATTGCTGATTAATGAGGATTATATAGCAAAGAAAGACAGGTGGTTTTTGTTGTTTTTTTTTTTTTCGGTGGGGGTGTGTGTGTGTGTGTGTGTGTTTGAGACTTAACCATCCACTTGTGCTAGGCTATGTTACACTGAGATATGACACTATACAATTGTAACAAAACAGGCAACATACCACAATTCCCAGGGCCTTCAAAATATTAAGTTTGCACATAGGACAGGTACAATGTTCACTAAGCCAGGGATCCACGCAGGATTTGTGAAAAACATGCCTAGTAAAAAGAAAAATGAACAGCATCACAAGTTATATACTGAAAAACTATTAGGCCAAAATGCAAAGAAATGGAATTTTTAGTCTGTTTTTCTTCCTTTTAGGATTTATGTTCCAAGACATATTATTGGGGAAGTATTAAAATAAGTATTAAATTAAAATAAAGCTGGTAGAAAACCTCCTATGTTCAATCATCTATGTCAACAGCACTGTAAAATGAGCAACCGAAAAGGAGTATTTGGCTGCCTAGACTTTTTATTGAACCAATTTCCAAAAGAGTTTTCAGATAATTTGAATTCATTAAAAACGAAGCTAATGAATCATGCCTTACAAATCAGTTATTTTTTCTGTAATAGCTAAAGCAGAAAATGAAACTTCAAAAAGATATTAAATTGTATTAAATGAGTTCTATGTATCATTATTAATTAGCTTCATGGAACTTCTGTTAAATGCCATGTTTTAAAGTCTTTCTAAGTAACTTAAGTAAAATGTTAAAGTTACATGAGGACTATTTTTAGGGATGAACTGTTCTCAAGAATCAGATAACACTTTGCTTGCAGTTTTCAACTAAAATGTTTAAAGGGAGAGAGAAGATGGGCGATTTTCTCTTATTCAGAAAAGGAGAGGATCACATTCTTGTGATTGGGAACATGTCAGGAAGGGCTCTGCATTCTTATAACAGGAACTTGTGCCTTCTGGAGGGGAAAGCAGACTTTACAGGAGCTGCAGAAATCATTCCTCCAGCTCAAGTAACTCCATGGCAGTTCTGACATGCTGATATAAAGCCATGTGAAAGCCCCAGAGTCCTGGCTAGATAGGGAGGCGGCAGTTACTAGGATAGACATCCTGTACGCCTTTGCACTTGATCTTAGCCAAAGGGCTGAGAAGTCATACTCTGTATATTTTTGGAGGGAACTATAATCTGAGCCTTGAGGTCCGATAAAAGAAATTTTGAGAAACCGAACTACTATATGCCTTTAGTACATTGATTGTAACTTATAATTTATATATAGCTTGTATATAGTTACATATAGCTGGTTCAAAGGTAGTCTTGATTTAACAAAGAGGTCTAAAAAGCATTTTTGTTTGGGATTTACAAGAAATATCATACTTAAAGCTTTAGGCTGAACAATACACACATACAAACCCACTAACTGCCATTTAGTAGCTTGGTACACATTTCTTTGGGATAAGAATAAAGGTCACAAAGACTGAACTGATCAATGTACTCTGGAATTTGCACTCAATGCAATAGGCCAGAACCTCATCATTCCTGAAGGCTTTTTTTTGAGTGTAAACGTTTTTACTTAAGTTGTGAAAGTGACCAATCCGTAGTCAAGACCTACATTCATCTAGAATACACAGGCATTTCCATGCCTGCTTCTTGTTACTTGTGTCTTTGTAGGTGTGCTCCAGGAGGAAGGTGAAGAGCTTCTGATGCAGGGCTCCCAGCATCTGTCTACTGTGCCAGCATTGGCTCTATGCTAGCAGAGACTAGAACAAGGCCGTTAAGCCTTTCTGAGGATGTAAGACCCCTTTAAATCAGACATAAATGAAGGTTCCTCCCCTTACATGAGCACATCTGCCGATATTAATATCTAGGCCAGTTCTGTGTGTGTGGATGATGGTCTTTGGCTGGTTAACAAGTGACAGAAGAGATAAGGTATGGGGGAAAGCTGACTTAACCAGATGTTAGTGCAAACTCTCATTTCAGCAAGCAGCAGAGACCTGGGAGTTTTGAGAGCTTTCAGCCTCCCATTTTTCACCAGCAATTTTTGCCTTATCCTTTTCTTACTATCTTGCCCTGCTTTTCTATTACTGGATAGTCAGAAAGAACAAAATGGTATAATGCCATAATTTTTAAAGGTGCATGAGTTGAGTGTTCTCTGCATCTGTTCCTTTGACCTTAGTTACAAGTAGATTTTTCTTAGTTGGGATTTTTAATTGTTTCCTTGCAGATATTTTGATTGAAAAAAAAATCTTGGCCAATTTACTAAACAATTACAACCTTTTCTTTGCTGAGGGCAGTGTAATGGCAAAGACTAACTGGCCCTCTAGGGACAAACTGAAAAAGCCTCATTCATTCATTCATTCATTCATTCATTCATTCATTTATTTATAAAAGATTTATTTATTTATTTATACAAGATCTGGGATACAGACAGATGTTCGGGAGGGTAAGAGGATTCACCAGAGACAGAGCGGGGAACAGAACAGGCAGACTGATGAAATACACTGCTGAGGGGAGCAGCAGGTAAGACAGGAGAGGTCTGCTGCGCCATGTGGGACCCTCGCTGGCCGGCCGGCCGGGATTGAACCAGCGCTGCAGAGGCTGTGGACAGCTTCATAGCACGGTGCTCGACCACCTGCGCCACCGCCTCACTTATTTAGCTAACACAAAATCCAAAAGAAATGTTTTCTTTCAGCAAACATTGTTTAAAAATGAACAATGATGTAAAATATATATAAATAAATGTTTTCTCTCTCTCTCTCTCTCTTTTAAAGATTTATTTATTTATTTATATAAGCACTGGGTATAGTAAGAAGCGCGGGAGGGTGAGAGAATTCACCGGAGCCAGAGTGGGGAACAGAACAGGCAGACTGATGAAGTATACTGCAGAGGGGAGCAGCGGGCATGGCAGAAGAGGTCTGTGCACCATGTGGGACCCTCACCGGTGGCCAGGGATCGAACTGGCACTGCAGAGGCTGTGGGCAGCTTCGCAGCCCAGCGCTCAACCGCTGCGCCACCAGGGGAGGCCCTAAATAAATGTTTTCTCTCTTAAAATAAAGCTTTGTGTCTATTCACCCACCTCACTATATTCTTATCTCATCCCCACCCCAGTCAGCTAACACTCCTCCCTCCTCTGGCCCAGTCTTTTCCATAACCCAACAGACCTGCTGAAGATGCTCAGTCTAATTTCACAGCACATCCTTCTCTTCTGAAAACAAAACTAAGTTAAGTTTTCTCTTCACCTATTTGCCATTCTGCTACAAGCTTATCACTTTCCTTCGGGTCACTGATGGAACCTGGTGAGTAACTGTCCTGGTTGCTTGTCTTCATTACCCTCTTGCTACTATCTCAGCTGTTCAACAGCTCCCCTTCCTTGCAGGCAAGGTTCTGCTATTATAGCTGTCCACATCTCCACAAACAGCGCAACCCATGGGTCTCTTCTGCAAGCTGCATGGGGCATGGGGGAAGCAGGCCAGATGTGTACCCTCTATCACATGAAGCTGTCTGGAATAGCAAGTGCAAAAGTATATGTGGGAAACCAAGCACATACAAACAAAAGGAATGATTAAAACATACTCATGCAAAGGAAAGCTATCGTTTCACACAAAAACTCCACAAATGGCCGGAACACTTGCAGCCTGCCTCAGGCCCTAGCAAGCCAGGCACCAGGGTGATCTCTCATGGACTTAAAGGTACACAGCACCTATAGACACTGCAAAGGGCAGCACCTGCAGCAGCCAAACCTTGAAAAGAAGCCCCTTCCTACTACTATAAAAGACTCTAATGAAAATAATACACATAAAAACAGAAACGGGTCCAACACATTTAGGGCTCAGAGGTATGCTAGGAAGGAAAGCAGGTTGTGTGTTGCCAAACAGTGAGTGGTGAAAAGGACAAGCATATCAGAGCTTCAACAAAAAAGCCTTAGAGAAATACTTTGGACACAGAATGAGAAAGGTATGAAATGTCAAAAGAAAAAACTGGTAACGCTGAATATGCACCTCCTCCTTTCCTACCACTGTGGAGTCTCTGCCAGCAGCCAGAAAATTGATCCATTTTTGCTCCTGAGGTGTTACCTTAGCCGTACGACTGTAGAAGCTGTAGGACCCCACTGAAAAGAAATTTTAACTACTAAGAATTTTGTAATTGACCTTTAAATAAAAGAGGTTTAAATAAGGGGAGTTTTTCAGTTTCCAAGACATGCTGGCTAACAGCCAAAGGATGATCAACTATAATCAACTGACTCAAGTCGGAGGTCCCAAAGCACTGCCAACCGTCATCTGTCCAGAGTAAATTACATGACAGAAGAGGAACAGTAAAGGTCATGCAACAAAAAGCCAGCAGGGCACGAGGTTTCATAGTTATAGACAGAAATCTTTAGTGTGGGCTCCAGACAGGCTTGTTAAAAATTAAGGACAGACGGACACAAAGGCATCGAGGTTCTTTTTTCTCTTACTGATGTGAAGAAGGGACAGTGAGTGCAGGTTTTGCCCAAAATCTGGTTGTGAAGGTGAGAAGGTATAGGGTGGTATTTGGAGGTGGGGTTGCCCAAGGAGCATGCCCATATGCTGATGAAGGATGAACAAAAACTGAGGGAGCAGAGAATCAACAGGGCAAGGTCCCTGAGGAAGGAAAGAAGCTGGTACCTGGGGGTCCAGATGGAAGGAGCATGATGGAACAAAGCAGGGGGTTCCTCCAACCTGTCAGAGGGGAGGCTGGAGGGTAAGTGTTGAGGCAGGTCTGCATGAAAGCTCAGGTCAGAAAAATGAGGAAATTTCAACTCTCTGGTAGCTACATTTTTCTCTCTTAAGGTGCTGACACAGTTACCTGCTGAGAGTGAGGAAGAAGGTGTTCAAGGAGAAAGGACACACCCGGTGCTGCTGTGAGGCATGTGAGTACCAACTGCGGGAACAGAATTCCTAGGGCAGCATTCAAGTCTGCTGGGGTCTGTTCAGAGTCCTGCAGGTACCAGTGTCCTGGGACTGAGAACTAAAGGAAGACACTGCAGGGTCACAGCTGGGCTCAGATTCAAAGACCTAGAGTCAAAAAAGGTCAGACAGGGCGGCCTAGGCAGAGGAAACACAGTAAGTAGCAGCACAGAAAGAGCTAATTCAAAGGTACTTGAGGAGAATCCACTGGAAATAACAGGGTTGGAGAAGATTTAGAGTAAAGATAAGTGTGTGCATGGAGCCATCCTCTAGGTTAGTGGGGTTCTTAAATGGAGACATTTTGTGGCTGTCACAACTGTGTATGGGGGTGTTACTGCATGCAGGGGGTGAAGCCAGGGACACTGCCCAATATTCTAAAATGCATAGGACACTCCATCACCCCAACAAAGAGCTATCTGATCTCAAATGTTCACCATCAGTGCTCAGACTGAGAAACGCCACTCCATTTCAAAAGTACAACTCACAATATTGCTCGAGGTGCAAAGTTAATTTTCACTACACCTGAGAATCCTATTGTTACCATTTCAGTGAGGTGAAATACTTGGCTAAGCAGACTGTGCAGTGTAATTTAGAGGAAGCTACAACTTGCTGAGACAGCAACCTGCTCTAAAGTTCTAAAGTGAAAAGGCAACTCTGACATGGCAGCAGGCACATCTAGTAGCAAAAGCACCTGCAAACAAAAGATAACCAAATGAGCAGTGCCATAACTGGTCACAAAGAAGTCTGTTAAATTTGCCAAAACTCTAATAGTCTAACACAGACCACAAAGACAAAGGCTGAGAGCATGTCTCTGGTGGTGGGCGCAGTAACAGAAATGGCCATTGACTTAATAGAAGGTGTGATCTATAGCACCGAATCACCCAGGTACTGAATAAAAATAAGCATGCTGGACTCCATTCAGGATGTGATTCTGAAAACTCCCTGTCAATTCTTATGCAGAGTTAAATTTGGAAAGCTAAAACAAATTCAGAAGAAACAGAAATAAGAATGAAACCTAGGAAAACTCAATGCTCAAAGAACAGAGGGAATGGGGAATAAACTTCCATAACAGTTCATTTTTGGCCAAGGCTTCCTGAGGAAGACATTCTCTTTGTGAAGTGAAGGACTTTGGAGCCTCCATTCTAAGGTTCCTGGTGGTTTGGGGGAACTCTGGACTGAAGTAAGACTTAGCTTCTTGCTGGTCATTCTGGTGTCAAAAGAAATCTGTGCAGGTAAAAGTATTTTTAAAAAGCAAGTAATAGCTGATAAGCTACATTCATAAGGTAGCCTATTGATCTTTTTCTTGATTTCCATTTGCATATGTATTTCCTTTAGACTATAAATGACCACAGTTAAAGAAAAACTGGCAATTACATAATTTAATTTTCTATTGGACAGCTTACAGTTAATTTTAGAGATTTTCCTTTATATGTAAACCATGATACTTGGTTTCTAGAATCTTGATTTTCTGCTTCAGTATATGAATTACCCTGAAGTTCTATATTTAAAAAACAAAACAAAACAGATCTTTAGGCTCAAAACAGTTAACTTTCTAAATAAGTAGAACACTACTAATAGTTTTACGGAAACAACTCATTATTTTATTCATTCATATGTTCTGTTTTCATTAGGAACAGAGTTGCATAGATCTGTTTTAAGGGGCCGAAGAGAATGAAGAGGAAAAGTCTTTGATTCTGGCTTCTTGATAGGCAATTATGTATTTTTACAATTAACACTCAAAAGTGTATCTTTTTTTTTTTTTAAAGATTTATTTATTTATTTATACAAGCACTGGATACAGTCAGAAGAGCAGGAGGTTGAGAGAATTCACCAGCATCAGAGTGGAGAGCAGAGCAGGCAGACTGAGGAAGTACACTGCTGAGGGGAGCAGCGGGCAGCAGGAGAGGCTGCACGCCATGTGGGACCCTTTCCCGGTGGCCAGGGATCCAAACTGGTGCCGCAGCAGCTGCGGGCAGCTTCCCAACCCAGCGCTCAACTGCTACGCCACCGAGGAGGCCCTCAAAAGTGTATCTTAATGGTTCATGTTCTCTAGCGTGGAGTAACACCATGGTAGAAATCAACATGCTTATTAAGGAAATTTGCTGTTTTTAGGGTCCCAAAGTACCCTTTGGGAGGAGATATGTGGCCCTAAGTAAGAGGCATGGGCATTAAAGGCAGACCTTTAATATTGGCTCTGCCACTGCTACATTGTGTGACCCTGGCATATATTACTGGTTTGATACCCTTCACTGTACATTGGGGAGGAAACCGCTGACCCATTACAGGAGACAGTGCACATAAACTGTCCAGAGTAGAGACCCTAACCCAGGCAGGCATGCTGCAACATAACTATCCTTCCCACTTTGCACAACTCAGGCTCAGAGAAAAACTTCACCCAAATTCCAGAGGTCTGGGACCCAGAGCCTAGTGAATTTGGCTGAGGTTTTATCAGACGGCCTTAGTGATATATTCTTATACAAGGAGGAGAAGAACAAGTGGCTAGTCTGGAAATCCACAGGAGTCACTAAGTTAAAAATTCTTGACTTGATGCTCCTAGGCTACGATGTTTCTCACAACTCAGGAAGGTGTGTGCTCTCATTCCTGCTGAGGCAGCACAGCTCACTGCCAAATGCAACTCCTCAGTGCGCAGCCTACCCTTTTCTGCCAGAAAAGCCAAGAGTGAGGTGGCTCTCAGAAGCAAGTGGGTGACTACTCTGAAATGAGTCATACAAACTACATCATTATCATTCTTGTAAAACAAAGAAAGTAGGCATACTTGCAGGGAAGAATCCGGACAACATCATTCTGCTTATAGCTCTCTATGCAGACTGCACAGTGATCGAAGTCTGGGTCTGTTTCCTGAAGTGGGAAGCACAGAAACAAAAGTCACACACATTGAAAGTACACATGTAAAGGAGACACAACCCAGCCAATAACTTTCCTCTAACAACTATGGCAGGCAAGTGATTAGAAAGTGAAGAGTTATAAAAAAGTATAAGTAGTTTTTCATTTGCTTATATCGAAACCAATTGATCTTGTTTTCAAACTGCTGTGATAATTAATACTGCCTGAAATGTCTTAGAAGTCCAAAGTTTAACTTTTTTCAGTATTCAAATCAGCTCTCACCTTCACCCACCCTCATGTTTGCTCCCCATGACTGATGCACCCTATTCTGTTTGAGTAGGTCTTACTGTACACTCTCCACAATCTAGTTTCATCAGGCTCATCTAGGCTCTCATTTAGGCTCATCTGACCATGTATCTAAGTATAGGCAGAAAAAATGATGAGCCCTGAAAGACACTATCTTCTGAGTCAAGTTCAGAGACCTGCCCCAAGAATGGGAGTTCTTCACTTGGTCACAGAATTGGGGTGATTTGGGTGAACAGTCATGGATCAACTCAACTGTGGATGCTATCAAGGGTCAGCAGGAGTCAGTCAGGTCATCCAGGGTAACTTCCTCCCCTGGGCTGGGGATGGGGCTGGTTCCCTGAGCTGTCACAAAATGAGTACTACCAGGCACTGAGACAGGAGAGGCTAGAGTATTTGCTGTGTCACTGCCACTTGGACTGAAACTCAAAAGGCACAACTCTGGGCAGATCTAGGAGGTACAAACTAATGAGAAGTTTTTGGTGTTTTTTTTTAAAAATATTTATTTATTTATACATACAAGAACTGGGGTACAGGCCAGAGGTGCGGGAGGTGAGAGGAGTCACCAGATACACAGCGGGGAACAGAACAGGCAGATTGTGAAATACACTGCTGAGGGGAGCAGCGGGCAAGACAGGAGAGGTCTGCTGTACCATGTGGGTAGCTTCCTGGCCGGGGATCGAACTTGTGCTGCAGTTGCTACGGATAGCTTCATAGGTTGCGTCTTAACCCTTTGTGCCACCAGGGAGGCCCATAAGTTTTGGTTTTAACAGAAAAGATAGTTTTGTGCTAGCCTGGAGCAAAGTAGGACAGGTAGGTTAAACCAGCTCCAGGGAATTTCGAATTAATGTAGCAGCTGAAGGTTATCAGGGCAAGAAACCATTTATAGGATGACCACTCCTCTGGGGATAAAGCACAGTTATTTTAGTGCTGTTTATATTTTCTGCAACTGCTTTTACTTTATCTCTTGCCTGAAGTTAGAATGAAGTTCAACGAAAATACCTTTACCTTTCCGAGCTGTGTCAAGGAAAACTGGATGTGGTGGTGTCAAGGCAGTGGTAAAACTAGATGGAGAATCATCAAAAATTATTCCACTAGCTCTTTGTTAAAATATTAGAAGTGAGTGTGGGACAGAGTTTCAGTTTTATGCCTTTAAAGATGCACTTATTCTAGGTAATTTTGAATATATCAAATATAGGATGTAACATAAGTTGCTATTTTGTCCTTTTTGAGCAGAAGTGGGGCCCTACCCTAACTTCAGATCTGATTGGGGAATTTTTTTTCCCAAAGATTTGCTTTATTTATTTATGCATACAAGACCTGGGGTGTAGGCCAGAGGTGTAGGCAGGTGTGGGTGTGTGTGTGTGTATGTGTGAAAGAAAGAGGGGGGGGGAGAGAGAGAGGGGATTCACCAGAGAGAGAGTGGGGAGCAGAAGAGGTGAACAGGTGGATCTACTGAAATACACTGCTGAGGGGTGTCTGCTGCACCATGTGGGCAGCTCCCTGGCTGGGGATTGAACATGCTGCAGTGGCTACAGATTGTTTCATAGTACTGAGACTTAACTCCTTGCGCCACCAGCAATGTCCCTGACTAGGGAATTCTGGTTAGAGGTCTCAGCCACAGCTGCTGTCACTGCCTTTCTGATTAGGTACCCCCACACCATCAGGGTCCGACAAACTGTGCTCTTATTTCAAACTGCTTACACAGAAAATGCCGTGTTAGGTAACACTCCCTTGAAAAGTAGATCTCCAATTTTCCACCTAACTGGTGAAGAACTGAAACACAAAGGGGACGTGGCAAAGTCTCAGGAAATAAAGGGGGAGAGCTGGGAGAGCCCCAGCTACTTGGTGTACAAACTGCAACTTTAGAATTCTTTCCGAAGGCATGCAAGCTTTTAGCAGAAGAAAACCCTGTTGAAAACCATGTGAGGAAAACTCAAGCAGTCAGTGAAGCTTTAAGGGCAAGAGCACTTAAAGTCCAGGAAAGTTAACTGTATGAAGGGCTTCCAAGTGACAGGCAAATTAAGAATAAGGTTTCAAAGAGAAGTCAGTCTAAACTAAAGCATTAGATAAAGCATTGAAGAAAAATAATCTCACAAATGATTAGGGTATATTCTCTCCCACCATATCAAAACCAAAACTACTTTATTATTATTATAGTATTAGAGTTATTTCATTACTGTACCTTATCGCCCTTTTTAACTGTTCTAGTTGTCAATTTGCTGATGGCTTTCTTTGCTGCATCTCCAAGACGACGCTATGAAAATTGCAAAGAAAAACACACATTTAGTGCAAGATCTCTAGGTGATGACCTTTTTTCCTAAATAACTGAAGGCTTATTAAGTCTCTGTTTTCCTACATCACTCTCCATTTCACATCATATGAGAACTCTAAAAAACAAATTAAAAAATTAGAAAAACTGGCAGCTTTCCCATAGATTCAGCAATTTGGCTGGTTATTAAAAAGCATACACAGTGAAAAGTTAAGTGTCATAATTACTACTGCATTTTGTATTTAATAAACATTTGAAACATTACAATATTATCAAAATCTACTTCTTGTACATGTCAGACATACTACTGCTGTTTAAATAGCTTTCCTATTTTGCTATAAGAGTGACCACTATTAAATGTATAAACTCTGTCTTAGTAAAATGACACCTTCAAAGTTCTTCAAAATCACTCATCCATCACACCAAGCATGGAAGAAGGGGTACAACCATGGACTCCATGTCTGTCTCTGCCATTGCTATGTTCCTGATCTTAGGAATGTCAATTTATCTTTCCAGGGTTGAGCTATTCTCATTTACACGAGAAGGTTAACTCAGAGAATCTGTAATGCTTAATTAGCCAACATTTTGGCAGATACTGCAAGTATGGTTAGGCATCATGGATCCAAAGATGAAAAAGACAGTGCACTCCTAACCTTGAAAAGCTAACTGAACTGGGAAACAGATAAGTAAACACATTTTAATTGAATATTGCAAAACAGAGCTTGCACAGGTAGGTGGCAGCACCAAGAAGGTGACCTAGTGCAGGTAGGGTTCAGGACATAGAGAAACTCATGGCAAGTTATGAGGAAGTGATGCCTGAGCTGAGACTTGAAAGCTGAGTAGGAAGGAGTAAGATAAGGAAAAGCACAGGGATAGGTAGGTACTGGCAATCTGGACAAAGGAATAATCTAGTAAAGACAAACAAGTGCGAAGTGCAACTATGTGAACAAAATTAGTTTGCTACAATTAGGAAGAGCATATATATTCTTCATATATACTGTTCAAATTAGAAAGTTTTGAGAGTCAGAGGGCCCTATTAGTGATTTCTAGAGGGACAACAGGTGCAAACCAAGACTGTCCTAGACACACTAGAACAGTCACCCAACATATAACCAGATCCTACACTGTGAGAAGTGGCAGATGCTGAGGCTGAGGCAGTATGGTGGGGGCTAGAAGATGGGAGACCCTGGAGTCTCCTGAGAATAAAATATATACATACATACACACACACACACACACACACACACGCGTGCGCGCACACACACTCTCACACACAAAATAAAAAATTTGGGGGAAAGTTTAAAACATACCAAATAAAGCAATAATTTAGAATTTTTTTTTTAATAGAGGCATGTTTTATTTATTTATTTGTTTGTTTGTTTGTTTGTTTGTTTTGTTTATACATGCACTGGGTACAGTCAGAAGCGCGGGAGGGGGAGAGAATTCACCAGAGCCAGAGAGGGGAGCAGAGCAGGCAGAAGGACTGAAGTACACTGCTGAGGGGAGCAGCGGGCGGCAGGAGAGGTCTGCGCGCCATGTGGGACCCTCCTCCGGTGGCCGGGGATTGAACCGGCACTGCAGAGGCTGTGGGCAGCTTCGCAGCCCAGCGCTCAATCGCTGCGCCACCAGGGTAGGCCCTAGTTCTAGTATTTTTTAATGAACTCTATCAAATTTTCTACATGGGCAATAATGTCACTAAATGAAGACAGTTTTGCTTCTTCATTTCTAATAAGTGTGTCTTTTTCTTTTTGCCTTTTTGTTCAGGCTTAAACCTCCAAAACAAAGTAGAATTAAAAGCTGTCTGATCACATATCCTTTCCTTATTCCTGATTTTAGAAGAAAGTATAGTCTCTCACAATTGAGTCTGATGGTAGCTGGTTTTTCATAGGTATCCCTCATCAGTTTAAGGAAGTTATCTTTTACAATCTAGTTTTCTAAGAGTTTTAAAATCAGGATAGATGTTGGATTTTGGCAAAAAAAAAAAAATTTTTTTTTAAACAGGACTTTTTTTTAAAAGTTTTATTTATTTATTTATGCAAGCACTGGGTACAGTCAGAAGCACGGGAGGGTGAGAGGATTCACCAGAGACAGAGCGGAGAGCAGAACAGGCAGAAGGACCGAAATTCACTGCTGAGGGGAGCAGCGGGTGAGACAGAAGAGGTCTGCTTCACCATGTGGGAATCTCCCTGGCTGGCTGGGAATTGAACCCACACTGCAGAGGCTGCAGACAGCTTTATAGCACGGCGCTTAACCCGCTGCGCCACCGGAGAGGTCCTAATTACTTTTTTTTTTTTTTAAAGATTTATTTATTTATTTTATTCAAGAACCGGGGTACAGACCAGATGCGCGGGAGGGTGAAAGGATTCACCAGAGACAGAGTGGGGAACAGAACAGGCAGACTGACGAAATACACTGCTAAAGGGAGCAGCGGACGAGACAGGAGAGGTCTGCCATGCCATGTGGGACCCTCGCTGGCTGGACGGGATCGAACCAGCGCTGCAGAGGCTGCGGACAGCTTCACAGCACGGCGCTCAACTGCCTGCACCACCAGGGGAGGCCCCCCTAATTACTTATTTTTTGTTAACTGAGGTAACTTTAGTTTACAAGACTGTATGTGATTTAGGAGAACAGGTTCACATCTCCTCACATGTTATCACACCACCCCCACCACCAAAGCACCCACAGTCCTTTATCCTGGGCCACTGAGCCCCTCTTCCCTCCCCTAACCATCATCCCTCTCCCTCAAGCAGCCTAACTGTACAATTATATTTCTAGGTTTTGCTTTGGTTTAGATTTATCAGTACCTTTCTATCCCCCTGCTCCCCATTTTCCACATCTGAGTGAAATAATCTGGTATATGTGTTCCTTCTTCTGACTTGTTTTGCTCAGTATAGTCCCCTTTCCAGTTCCATCCATACTGTTACAAATGGTAAGAGTTCACCGTTTTCAGTAACTGACAAGTATTCCACTGTGTATATGTAACACATCTTAATTCACCACTCAATGGATTGGCATTTAGGATGTTTCAATAACCTGGCTACTGTAAAAAGTGCTGCAATAAATAGGGAAATTTATATATCCCTCGATTAGTGCTTTTGTAGTCTTCAGGAGAGGAGTCGCTGTATCACACAGTGTATCTATTTTTAATATTTTGATTTTTAATCCATCTGTTAATCTGTTTTTAATTGGGGGGTATTTAGGCCATATACTGTGATGTGATTATTGATGTGGTTATGTTTAAATCTATCGTCTCGGCATTTGTCTGCAATTCCCCCACCTGTCCTTTATTCTTTTTTTGGGATTCAGTATTTTTTCATTGTGTTAAAATATATATAAAACTTACCATAGTAATAATTTTAAATGTAGAGTTCAGTGGTATTAAATACATCATACTGTTGTACAGCCACTACCACTACCCATTTCCATAACTCTTATAAATCTGAAACTCTGTGTCCCTTAGACTTAACCTCCCCCACCCCACAGCCCCTGGCAATTACCATTCCACTTTGTCTTAATTTTGACTACTCTGGATACCTCATATAAAAGTAACCATACGGTATTTGTCTATTTTTGTTACTACACATCAGCATAATGTCCTCAAGTTTCGATAATATTGTAGCATATCACAACATTTCCTTCCCCTTTGAGGCTGAATAATATTCTTTGTATGTACAAACCACATCTGTTGCTTATCTATTCAGTGGTTGATGAAAACCTGGGTTGTGCTTCCATGTTTTAGTTACTGTGAACAATGTTGCTGTGAACACGAGCAAAAATTTCTCTTTAATATGCTGCTTTCAATTCTTTTGAGCACATACCCAGAAGTAGAACTGCTAGAAAATATGGCAATTCTGTCTTTAATATTTGAAGAACTTCCATACTGTTTTCTATAGCAGTTGTACCATTTTACATTCCCATCAACAATGCATAAGGGTTCACATTCTCCATATCCTGGCCAACACATCTTTTGTTGATATTAATCATCCTGATGGGTGTGAGATGGAATTTCATGGTAGTTTTAATGTATTTTGTTAACAAAGCACATCATGTTCTGTGACTGCGAACTACCTTGCTCTCCTTGGACTCTTAGCTCTCTCTTCTCAAATAAAGCAGTCTCTGCTGGGCTCTGCCTTCGTTTTTGCTTCCATGCACCATGGTGCGAAAATTCTCAAAACATTAAGGTAAAGAAGCCTACAAGCTCATCTCTTTTGTTTCCTGTCCCAATGGGATCAGTGCCTGTGTCTAGTGTCTTGAAAACACTGCTTCATTGTTTTTCCCTGTTGTTTTTTTCTAACTGCTCCAGGCAGAAGGGTAAAGCAAACCAAGTCCATTATTCCATTTTGGTCAAAAGCTGACGACTCCACCATACATATTTTTAAAATTCCATTTTAAAAAGACAAAACTAGGTTATTGGTTGTATAGAACACCCTATATTCTAAATCTTGCTTCTTGTTTTCTCCTAGTATCATTTTACTTGATCCATTTTTAATAAAGTGGTTGTGAGAGTAAGGTTCAAGTGGTTTGGCAAGAGCACTCCTAGGTGTGCTATGTGCTTCCTAGTGCACTGCATCGTGAGGACAAAATGTCAGACTGTCCATCTAGAAATATGTTTGTTTCCATTTATTTGCAATGCTGATGATTCCTTTTCTTCTTCTTCTTTTTTTTAAAATTAGCTAAACACTTATATGGCCCAAAGTGAAAACTGTGAAACCAGGTACAAGGTAGTCTCACTTCTTTATTTCCTTCACCCTAGTTCCTCCTTTCCTCCAACATAAACTACTTAAATTAATTTTTTCTTTATCCTTAAGCTTCCTTTTGAATATAAAAGTAAATATAGTAGTCCCCTCTTATATGAGGGGAATAGGAGCCAAGACCCCCAGTAGATGCCTGAAACCATGAAGAGTACCAAATCCTAAAAACATTGTTTTTCCCTAATATGCACACCTATAATAAGGCTTAATTTATAAATTAGGCACAGTAAGAGA